AGTTACATCTGCATTAACCCTGTATCCAAGTAAGTTCTCATTCTGAGGTACTGTGGGTCAGAGCTTCAAAAGGGAGAACGACACAATCCAATCCATAACAGCTGCTTCGCGTGACTATTTCATTTCAAGGCCTTTTACAGTTAACTTTTTTGGTTTTGAAACTACCTTTTACTTGAAAAATTGAACAGAAGTCTTACAGTTTTAAAGTTTTGATTGCTTTATTTTGGGGGATTGGTTCCATTTTTCCTTGTGCCATAAAGCTCCATGACCCAACAGAGCGTCTTGATGTTGAACGGAGAGGGATGGCTTCTCCCTAGCTCTCTGAGAGTTTCTGAGCCCTACATCTGAGGCTTGGCTCTGAAGCCTCAGTTTTTGGATAGGGCCTTTCAGGGCCTTGTGAAGTGGTGAGTGATTGGCTTCGCCTTGTCTTCAGCATGACACTGCAGCAGCTGCTGTTCTTGCTTTTGAGCATGAAGCACATTTTAAACGCCTTGTGTTTTTCACCCATCCTTGCCAGTATAGATGTTTAACTTCTTGCAAATCCAGTACACTCTGCATGGAGATACAGGAATGGCTGACTTTTGTGAATCAGCATCAGACTGGCCTGTCTCAGGGGCAGTGGCAGATGGCCCCCCAGGCTGAGTGTGGCCACACCAGTGACTTCAAGGGTCATGTGCTGTGGCTCCCTCTGAGGGGTGATTTGAGAAAATCAGAGGAAATTATATTGACTTGAAGAAGGGGATGCAACCCAGTGTAGTAATGAGGAGCAGAGGCTGATGGAAACAGACCACTCACTGACTGTGTGAACCTGGGCAAGTTACCTGAGCATCAGTTTCATCGTCTGTGAAAAGGATTTGTTCTATCTGCCTTATATGTTTATGGTGAGAGTTGAGTATGCGATGCGGAAACGTGCTTAGCACTGTACTTGGCACATAATAAGTAGCAGCAATTGTTCTTAGTATAAAGAGCCCCTGTTATTTTTCTTCCTTGTTTCGACATTCTCGGCTTTAATTCATTTTCCAACTGGTGTCAGCATCATTTTCCGTCTTGGGACCTCTGAAGGTTAAGTTTGAGAAGAGAAAAGCAGCTAAATGTTTTTAGAGGATGTGGGTGGAAATCTGACCAAACGTGACTTTTTAAAAATAGACCTTGCCAAATATTCATGGAGTATCCTACACTAACACCGGCTATGTTAGGGTGCCAAGGTTATGGGAAATACACTAACCAGGTATTGATCAGTAATATAAATGTCAGAGAATGAAGTCCGCAGTGGAGCAGACAGCCTTGCTTGGCTGTAAAAATGCCAACATTCCTGAAACAAGGAGCCCATCATCAGATTCTTCATCTACACCCATAAAAGCATCCATGACTTGTTTTCTTATTTTTGCTTTGGTTTTCTAAGCAACCAAGAATGAAATAATGCAGTGGTTCTCAAATTTGAATGTGTGCTGGAATCGCCTGGAAGTCTTGTCCAAACAGATCCTGAGTCCTAATCTCACAGTTGCTGACTCAGTAAGGCTGGAATGGGGCCTGAGAATCTGTATTTCTCTTAAGCTCCCAGGTGGTTCTGATGTTGCCGCTCCAGGAACCACACTTAGAACTACTATGATGGAGTCCTCTGAGGAATTGTGTGATTCGGTGTAGAGCACGGGACATTTTAGTTATGAGGAGGTAGGCTTGAATCCTGGGACTGTTCTTCCTAGCAGAGTTCCATTGAGCAAATAATCTCTCTGAAACTGAGTTTTTTCCATTTTTAATTAGAAAGAATAGGCCCGGTCTGGTGGCTCATACCTGTAATCCCAGCACTTTGGCAGGCCAAGGAGGGAGGATAGTGAGACCTCTCTACCAAAAAAAAAAAAATGACCTAAGTATGGTGGCATGCCTGTAGTCCCAGCTACTAAGGAGGTTGAGATAGGAGGATCACTTGAAGCCAGGAGGCCTAGGCTATCATGAACTGGGATCACACCACTGCACTCCAGCCTGAGCTACAGAGTGAGGCCCTGTCTCAAAACAATAATAATAATAATTAGAAATAATAAAATTCATCTTATTAAGACCCTCGTCAGAGTTAAATAAGATGTTTGTAAAGCACTTATTTCACTGCCTGACATGTGTCAGTTTTAGAAGATTTCATTAATTTCTTTTACTTTAAGCTTTTTGTGTAAGTCATGTAATATTTTTGGATGATCTGGGCAGCCACGTCTGGCAAATGAATAATATTGTTTGTTTAAATATTTCCCTAAAATTCCATTTCAGAATCCCCATGCCCTTTTTCAAGCTGGTGTGTATGTCTGTGTACATTTTTTCCTTTTAATTAAGCATGTTGTTCCCCCATTTAATTCTTAGTAGGTTAAAAAGTTGCATAATAGATTGGGAGTTTCCTCCTCTAATTCTGCACATTGGAATGAATTTTAGCATATTTTGAAGCGTAGGTGATAGAGGGTGGTGAAGAGGTCACAGCTAGAGTGCCAACTCCGGGCTTTCATAATTCATGAACAACTAACTAGCATCTGGCCACAGTTTTGCCTTGTTGTGTTCTGAAGCAACCATGTCAATATCTGCATGGCACAGAATCATCAGGGGCTTCTTAAATGTGTAGATGTTAGTACCTCGTCTCTAAAGAATGTGTCAGTATATTGAGGATGGGACCTGGCCATATGTATTTTCAAGTATCAGGGCAACCCCTTTGGGTTCCCGCTCACTGTGGGAGCTTTTCTGTCCTCTCAATAAATCCTGCTTTAAAAAAATAAAGTGTCGCCCCGGGGGGCACAGAGACTACATTTCAAGAAACACCTTAAAACAGCAACTCAAATTGTGGTAAAATTATAATAATAATACATTTTTAAAAATTAAAAAAAAAACACGCCTTTGTCTAGTTCCTAATTTTGAACATGCATAAAAATAAGAGATGAGAAGCTGCCAGACATACAAGCATTGTGGAACTGTGAGTGTTAAGTGTGTTTGGCGTCCAAGTGCATAAAGACACAGAGAAGGGTTAGGAAGTAAGGGCAGAGACACAAAGCCAGGACAGTCTATTTGCGTTTAAATTTGGATTCTGCTACTTAGATAGCTGTGTGGACTCAGGTAGCGTCTCCAGTCTTCTCAAATCATGGTGCTGCTTGTGTGAAATGGCTCACCCTTGTTTCATCAGGGCCATCATGCAGGTTAGAGCTCACTGTGTAAAGTGTGTAGCACTGTGCTGAGCACGAGGCATTCCAACATGCCAACATTGTGCTGGTTCTTCTAAAATGACAGACATAGGCCGGGCTCGGTGGCTCAGCCTGTAATACCAGCACTTTGGGAGACCGAGGCAAGTGGATTGCCTGGGCCCGCGGGTTCGAGACCCACCCAGGCAACTTGGCGAGACCTCGACTCTACAATAAATCAAAAATTATCCAGGCGTGGTAACATGCGCCTGTAGTTCTGGTTACTTGGAAGGCTGAGGCAGAAGGATCACCGGAGCCCAGCAGGTAGAGGCTGCAGTGACTGGGAGCGTGCCACTGCACTCCAGTCTGGGCAGCAGAGACTCCAACTCAAAAAAAAAAAAAATGACAGACATAGAAGGTGGACTGACAAGACCCACACAGAAGTTCGTGGGCACATAGAACCACAGTGAAGCCTGTGGCTCCGTGAATCCATAAAATATTTATTAGGCCTTGGGGAAGGAGAATTCTCTAAAGATTGTTGAAGTGACTGACTTCTTACAGGTGTCTTTGGTTCAGGTACATCCACGGCTAGCTTCTTGTTATAATTATTTTTTTAGATTCAAAACTCTTTATTGTGGATACTGTATGATTAAACAGTGTTTGATTATATTGACATACATTGTCCAATCAAATCTATTGAATCAGCAGACTATTATTTTTTACTCTGCCAGAGCATTAATTTTCCATTCACTTTAATGTGACAAGATAATGTTCTTTCGTGAAAATATTAAACATTTAAGGAGAGCCTAAATGAAACCATATTAATACAGAACAACAGAGCTAATATTATACAGTAACAGGATAGGAAAGTCCTGTTTAAAAAGAAGACATTATTACTGTGAAGATGGATTTTTATTCAAAGAGTTAGAAAATGCCACATAAGTACATGTGGACTTTGATTTTTCTCAACATCTTCATGGCTTTCTTTCATCTCTCAGGCAGTTTAAAAATATTTTATTCTTTCTGCTTTGCGTGGTGCCTCACACCCGTAATCCCAGCACTTTGAGAGGCTGAGGAGGGAGAATCACTGGGGCGCAGGATTTGAGACCATCCTGGGCAACATAGTGAGACCTCATTTCTAGTAAAAAGATAATTTTTATATATATTATATTTTAAAAATTACTTCTGTAGTATGGTCTTTCCCAGCTTACTGACATGCTTCTAATTTATGTGCTTGAAATGAGTCGGGTAGCATTTTTTTACTTCCATGTGATTTCTGAAGATGTATTATGGCAGTAGAGCTTTTAGAAAGGAATCTATCAGCCACATCCATTAAACTTAAGTTTAGGAACAGACCAGTATGACCAGATGAATTGGGGTTTTCATTTATGGATCCTCTAATGTAGAGTCCCCCAAGGACAAGGGGCAATGTTAATTAAAACATCTTGAAGTCTGTAAACCACAATTACTTCTGTATGAGAGGCAGTGAGGAGCTTTGAATTATCACTTGAAAAACAAGATGAAGGAAATTTCATCTTTCTTGTTGCTTTCATGTGGATGCCAGTTTAAAGCAAACATCCTTCAGTCACCAGGATTATTAACACAATTCATTGCTCTAAAGAACCAAGGTTTTATGTTTATGATTAGTTACATAAGAGAAAAAGAGGTCTCTGGATATACATGGTTGGTGTCGTGTTTCCTATATGCCTGGGGGGAAACTCTCACTTGACACCCCTGAAGTGGTAAGAAAGTGTGCAGATTTGGGGTTTGTCATATGCATTCCACATCCATAAGGGCATGTCATATAAATAAAGTTGTTGTTTTGAACGAGGGACTTTCAATATTTCCTTCTAGGTAGGACACCGAGGAACAATAAGAAATTATCCAGGCTTTAGTCCATCCGTGGACGCTGAAGCTATTCGTCAGGCAATCAGAGGAATTGGTGAGTGATACTTTTCAATTCCTTTCTTAATGCTGAAGCAATTCGGGAAAGTTACCGTCTGAAAGTGCCTAGGCTCAGTTTGCTCCAGTTGGCTTACTTGCTTGGAGAAATTGCCAGGGATTTTCTAAAATTATGAAATAATGAGGAATGCATAGGGAACCCGGTTTTATTGAATCTTAACACATGTCATATTTGCTTAATATTAACAACTTCCACCATCACCACTGCTACCAATACCGGCAATCATCATCATCAATCATTATAAATACATTTCTTGTCCATTCTTCCTGGATTTCATTCTCACCCCATTCTTCCCTAGAGATAAACACTGTCCTAAATTAGGGTTTATTCCCATGACACTTTTTTTTTTTTGAGTTGGAGTCTCACTCCATCACCCAGGCTGGAGTGCAGTGGCATGCTCACAGACCTGCTGGGCTTACGCGATCCATCTGCCTCAGCCTTTCAAGTAGCTGGAACTACAAGTGTACACTACCACACTTGGCTAATTTTTTGATTTATTGTAGAGATGAGCTCTCACCAAGTTGCCCGGATTGTTCTCGAACCCGTGGGCTCAGGCAATCCCCCCACCTCGGCCTCCCAAAGTGCTGGGATTACAGGCTTGAGCCACTGCGTCCAACCCCCATGACACTTTTAATACCATAACTGCGTATGTATATGCATATTTTCTTGAATGATCCCAACCAACATAAACTGGAATCATACTGTGTACACTCTTCTGCAATTTATTTTTTCCTTTTTATTGTAATTTTGAGATTTATCCATGTCGATATGTTTAGCAGTAGTGCATTGATTTTAACCACATAGCAGTCTACTGCATCAATATATCATAAGATGGGATTATTGATGGAACATTTAAATTGCCTACAAATTTTTTATTATAATATAAAAATACTGGAATGACTTTTCCTTTTTGTTTCTCATTGTGCACATTTGCTAGCATTTCTCTAGAATACAACAAGAATTGAAATTTCTAGATTAAAGAGGAGTGCTTATCTTCCAACTCACTAGAGATTTTGCAGAACTGCTCTCTGAAATGACCATAGAAATGGCCTTCCTTCGGGTGATGTATGCAACTTCCTTCTGCTCCATATTCTCCCCAGTACTTGCTACAAGAATCCATTCTACCTGAGTGGGTCTAAACTTGTATGTCATTTTGTATGTGTATTTATTTCCTTCACCTTTCTACACTGATGACTGATGTACCTAATCATCCTTTCTTGTTTATTTGCTTCACTTTCACATATAAATTCTTCGTATATTTTATCCGTTTTCAGTGAAGGTATCGTCTTCCTTGTTGGCAATATTTTAAAAATAACTTCTGGATACAAACTGTCTTTTTAAATTAGAAACCATGAATATGTCTTCTCTAAGTCTATGGCTTTCTTCGAATATTTGTTATAGTAATTTTATTGCATAGAAGAATTTTAAATTTTAGTGAAATTGAGTTTGCCAATATTTTGTTCTCTAGGATTCATGCCTTTTATATCTTTTTTATAATGAGGTCATAAAGATTTCTCCTGCGTTTTTCTCCCAAAGTTTTAAATTTTTATTTTGCACATTATAATCTTTAAGGTACCTGGAATTAATGTTTATGGATGGTATTCAAAGTCATCTGAGTGTATTCCATCTCATGTGGACATGTAATTGTCTTGCACAATTTATGGAGGAACTCATACTTCCTACACTGATTTGTGATGTCACCTCCATTTTATGTTTCTCTGTCTTTCTATTCTTGGTCATGCTGCATTTGTCTCTTCTTCACCTCTCCCTGTCCCAATGCCTCATTGTCACAGTTATCATGGTTATGTAATGCCACACAGTGCCTTGTAGGGCCAGGTTGTTCTTGGTTTTTTGGCCTCCTTTGTGAATTTTAGAATCAGCTTGTCAAATCCATGAAATGCACTATTAGAACTTTATATCTATATAATATTATCTGATTTCTACATGCTTGGGGATTTATATTTTTCCCATTTTTCAATGGAAGTTATTTCTCCATTTATCTCTTTGATTGCCCTACTTATATCCAGTATTGAGTGGACTGTCCCGGGAGGTTAGTATAAAGTTGAAGGAATTAATGGTCTTTTTAAATCTCTATTGCCTGGCCTTCTTGACGTTATGTTTCTTGGTGTATTTATGCCCTTTGGCTTGCAGGCCCGCTTTGAGAAGAGGTTTTTGTTTGTGAGCACCACCTCTGACACTTTCTGAGTCCAGAGCAGGGGTCATGATGGCACGAGGGATGTGTCATGATTTGCACGAGGGATGTGTCAGATGCAGTCTCTGAGCCTGTGGGCCAGGTGGCTTAGTTACTGGCCTTGAGCATGCACAAAAATAAGAGATGAGAAGTTGCCAGACATACAGACCACATGAACTGTGGCCAGTGAAGGTTGTTTGAGGTCTAGGTGCATAGGGTGCAGAAATGCAGAGGAGTAGGGGGATATGAGAACAGAGACACGTGGCAGGGTAAAGCATGACAAGCTGGTATACTAGGCAAGAGGCCTAAACTTCATCCTGAAGATGACAGAGAGCCATTTAGGACTTCATTCCAGAGGGGGATGTGATCAGGTTGCATTTTTAAAAAATCACTGAGGCAGTAGTACACAGGATGAATTATATAGGGGCCAAGTTAGGAGGCTGTTTAAGTTATCCAGGTAAAATGGGATAATGGCATGGTGGCCAGGGGCACACTAAGGGGACAAATCCAAGAGATGCAGATGATGGCTCAGTCTAGAGAGTAGGAAAAGAGAGGCATCCAGGATGAGTCCCAGGACTCTTGATTGAATTAATATATGCATACTCTTGTCATGGACAAGGCAGCGTGGAAGGGAGACAAGTCTGAGAGAACTTGCAGTGAATTCCACCCTGGAGCACGCTGAGTTTGATAGAATGTACAGTTGAGGCATTTGGAAGGTTAGATACGGGTATTGTGGGGGGTCCAAGTTGGTCATCAGACCACAGAGCCCAAGTAGACTTTAATCTAATTCTGTTTCCTTCATGATGTGGAGATATGGAAAGGCAGCACCTTCTCTGGGAGGCCCAGCAGCCAATCAAGCACACAGATTCTTTGGTGCCATCATTGATTATGTAGTTGTGTGTAGGTTTTACCACTGATGTGTGTAGACAAGGTATGTGGGGATCACCTTGATACAGAGAAGTTGGGCCTTGAGTTCAGCAGATCTTTCATACCACTCTAGTCATGCCCACCCAAGGCCTGCAAGCCAGCCCTCAGCTTCCCTAGTCCTCTCCACAAATGGAGTGGACACAACTTCCCACATGTCTTAATACTGTAATCACCCCAAAAAAGTGTCACATGAGGTCATCCTCAGGCAGGCCAGCATCTTCTGATCTTTCACTTACAGTTTCATAAGTTCCTATAGTTTTCTAAGTTCATTACAGCTTAATCCTACTGTACTTTCATGATGTATAAAAACGGTGCCAAAAGCCAATAACAGTAAGTAAAGTCCACACCATGGGTGTGAAATGCCAAAGAGAAGTGAAGACCAGAGATAGAAATATTTATTTTAGGGTCAGAGATTTGGGTCCAACCTCTTACTGCAGCACTTAGAAGCTGTGTGACTTTGGCAAGTTAGATAAATTCCCAAAGTGGTAGTGTCTTAATCTCCATCAGTTTAATCCTCCTTACTACACAGGGCAACTGTGAAAATGAACTATGACAATGCATTTAAAAATTGCCTAGTGTAGGCAGGTTCTCAATAAATATCAGCTCCTGTTCTCTAGAGGAAAAAAATATTTTGATATCACATATGAGGATGAGAGATTAAAGATAATAAGACAGTAACGAAATCTCATAAGGATAAAAAATCAAGTTCAAAAGCAGTAGGTTATTTGTACCACTCCCTCTGCCAGATCTACAGGTAAGAGCATTTAGACAATGATTGTTTTCTTTTCCCAAAATTCTCCAAATGAAGTTAACTTTATTTTCCAAAAACTGGGCAAAGAAATGAAGATTCCAACCAGGTAAGAAGCTAGACATTAAAAATTAAGATGGCTTACTCTTTCAGGCTATTGATCATTTTCTTTTGTTCAGGGAAGATATTGAGCATCTTTAGGCTGATGATGAATAAAATAGTTTTCATTTCATTTAGGAACCGACGAGAAAACGCTCATTAGCATTCTGACCGAGAGGTCAAACGCACAGCGGCAACTGATTGTGAAGGAATATCAAGCAGCTTACGGGAAGGTACGATTCGATTAACACGACATGCAGTAAGGAGAGCATCTTTAATGTACTGTGGTTGCTTCCTCATGACTGTGCCCACAGTCTTTCGTGTCAGGTCAAGTGTAACAGAAGGTGACCAGGGCATCCAGTCCGTCAGAAGCCTACAATCTGCATCCTGGTTTTGCCTTGTACTGGCTGAATGGCCCTGGGCATGTTCCTTGATCTTCCCAGGCCTCATTTTTTAATCTGTAGAATAAGGAGGGTTGCTTGGATCAGTGATTCTGAACTAGTAGTCATGTGCTCCCTAGGGGACATCTGGCATGGATGGCGACATTGTGATGATGATCACAAGTGGGATGGGAGGGTGGACGTTTCTAGCCTCTAGTGGGCAGAGGTCAAGGTGCTGCCAGACGTCCAACAATGCACAAGAAAACTCCATAACAAAGACTGCTCTGGCCAGCCATCTGACAGAGCTTCTCTTAATAACCTTTAATGTCTAACTTTAAAATACATAATTACAGATTTAATTCATTCAGCACATGAACGTTTACTAAATGCTGAAAACTGCATATGAACAAGTGATACATGGTCCTTTTACACAGTTTATTTACTCAGCACCTATTGTTGAGTGGTGTTCTATGTCAGGAGAGATCCTAAACGTTGGAGATGTAGTATCTCCAAAAAGCAGATCCTCCCTTCTTTCATGGAGCTGACATTTTATTAGAAATAGAATAAACAAGTAAAGAAATTCAGATATAGATAAATAACTAGAATAGAGTGGCACGATAAACAGTGACTGGTGACAGGCTCCTGCAGCGAGGGTGGTGACAGAAGGGCATTGGGGGCTGCTTTGCTCTCAGGTATGACTAAGCAACACTAGGGATTCTGCTATCATTGACTGAAGAAAAGAGCATCTCAGGCAGAAAGTACAGCAAATGCAAGAGCCCCAGAGCAGAAACAGGCTAGGAGTATCTGAGAAACGGAAGGAATTCAGTATGGTGGGAACATCAAAGGTGAAGAGGGCAGAGGAAAGAGAAGGAACTGGAGGGAGGTTAGAATGGTCTTGGTGCAGTTTGGATTTTACTTTAAGGGCAGTAGAGAGCCTTGGGCAGTTTCTAAACAGAGGGATGACATAATCCAATTTTTACTTTTAAATGATTGTTTTGGCCACTGTGTGTAATGAGCTGCAGAGGAGAAAGGTGCAGACAGACCAGTCGGGCTCTTGTGTGTATCCCGTGATTTCACCCGTGGCATGATCCTGCAAAGGCCTCTTAGATCCTGCCTGCTGTGCATGTGCTCCTGGACCCTAGACTCCACTTCAATGCCCAACCTGAGGCTTCTTTATCAGATAATTAACACATCATATTGACCTCTACTTTTGACTGTTTCTGGTTTTCCCATTAGGGCATAATGTCTTAGGGTACGAATTTTGTCTAACTCACTTTAAACGCCTAGCACAGAGCAACTGCCCAGTAAACATTTGTTGAATTAAATGAATTGCCAAGCTTCTGGGCAAGATGACACTTTCACATGTAGGAACGAAAATGATCCATTGGCCTTTCAGTGTTTCCAAAATATGGAGGAAGGTTAGAGATGAAGAGCAGTAGCCATGTCTCACAGTGGAAGAGAATGAGAGCTGTGAAGTAAGACTCATGCGACAGCTTGAGTGGAGGCAGATGGACATATAATGGAGCATTTAGAGAGGAGTCAAAATAGCTCACGATGCTTGACTCCACCTCGTCTGTTTCAGCAGGAATGTGGCCCTGCTGTGCCCCTCAGTGGTGTGGTGGCAGCAGACTGGGAGGCTGTCAGCCTCTGTTCAGAGTTGGAAATAATCAAAAGCAGGAAAACAACATATTCAGTATGACTCCTTTGAATATTGAAAATGGAAACCCTGTTACCTGCCTTTGAGTGGGGGAGACAAGACTGTTTGTACGTACAATCAGTGCCAGAAGCCAGTGACAATAGAGTCCACTCTGTTGCCACTCTCAGGATTTCCTTTGTTCTTGCTGAAAAACCACGTCTGATGGCCCTCGTGCCACTTTCTTACCAGAGGCAGGTGGCTAGCCTCTATCTTTTCTTTCTGTTTTCTCTGGAGTTTTTGGGCAGTCGCCAAGAAGTGAGGCACCTGCCATAGGAAACAGCACCTGCCAATGAAGCTGGGTGTGTGTTTATGAGGGTGCCTTTTTTTCTTCTTCCCTCCAACCCAGGTATTGAGGACCTGGGAAACACATTTTAATACTCAGTTGCTGACTGTGGTGCTCATGTGACCTTCCCCTTTGGCTCTCTTTCAAAGCCTCTACAAAACAACAGCTTGTGAGTAATCACAAAATGTAGATTAATATTCACAGAAATTTTTTCAATACTTCCTGTTTATCCCTTGTGGATTGGCATGTTTTTATCTGGTTTTGGTACATGTGTTCATCTTTCACAAGATGACTTTAGAGAAAGAGAAAGCAAAAGTTTCACGTTTTCTTCCTTCGCTTTTCATTTTAGGAGCTGAAAGATGACTTGAAGGGTGACCTCTCTGGTCACTTTGAGCATCTCATGGTGGCCCTAGTGACTCCACCGGCAGTGTTTGATGCAAAGCAGCTAAAGAAATCCATGAAGGTAGGAGCCATTCACAGCATTTCTGCCCAGAATTTGAATACATCATCAAAAGTCATGGCTTTCTTCCAGTGCACACTTGAAACATTGGTGGACTTGGGTACCATTTTAGTCCTTGCTCTCCAAGTGATGGGATGATTTCGATTTCAAATAGAGAATGGTTGTGGACCCTTAAGGCCAAATGTTCCTGGGCTGAAGGACTATTGTCATATTCTTATTTTGTTTGTTTTTTGGCATGAGGAGTCAAAATTCTCTATGTCATCATCAATGAAAGTAGCACCATGATCAACCCCAATGCCAAGGCTAAAAACCTAGGATTATTCTTGAAACTTTGTTTTCTCTTACCCTTTGAAGCTCCCAAATTTACCAGCAAGTTCATTAGCTCTACTCCAAAGTTCATTGCAAATGTGTGCACTCCTCAAAGCCCATTTCTACCATTCATTATAGCCTGACCACCATCATCTCTTGACTGGACCATATCAGCCACCTCCTAACTGGTCTCTTTGCTTCCATCTTTGCCCAAATTCACTCTCCACAAAATGGGCCAGAATTATTTTTATTAAGTTATTTTAAGAATCAGATGATGCCATCTACCTGCATGCATCTCAGGTGACTTGCATAGAACACTTAAAATCCAAACTCCTTGTCATGACCTTTGTCACCCAACATGGTATAGCTCCTGTCTGTCATTGTGACTTTTAAAATTTTTCCCTCTTTCAGCCATGGTTCCTCAGAGGAGCAGAGCCAGTAGGCATGACATACGTATTAAAGGATAGATGGTGAGGAGTTGGGTACATAATTGTAGGACTGGTTAGACACAATAAAAATCTATAGGGCAGGCTGGAATTGGGCACAGGCTGAATTTGCTATCCCCAGGGAGAACCTCTTATTCGTCATAGAAACCTCAGCTCTGCTCTTAAGGCCTTCCAACTGATTAGACCAGGCCCACCTAGAATGTAGAATACCTGTAATAATTTTCCTTTCTTAAAGTCAGTTGGTAATGGACTTAAATTACATCTCCAAAACACTTTCACAGACTAGGTTAGTGATTGATTAACTGGGGACTGTTGCATGTCCAAGTTGGCACATGAAACTGACTATCATGCCCCCCCCCAATCATTCAGTGGTGTAGTCACACTGGCCTTTTCTTTGCTCCTTGAATATTATAAACTTATTCCTATGTTGATGTTTATGCATGACGTTTCTTCCATCTGGAATGCTTTTCCTCTAGACATTTTCTATCAATTCACTGAAATATATTTTCATAATTGCACCTTTTACCATCTAAAATTATCTTGTCTGTTTCTAAACATCCATCAGTATCTTTCCCATCTAACTCAAAGGCAACCCCCATCATGGCAGAGAGCCTCATGAGCTCCTCTTAGAGAAGCACCTGAAATGAGGTAGGTGCTCAGCACATTTAGTGGCAGCAAGGAGGAAGAAGAAGGGCACGTAGATCTGAGGCACAAGCCACGTTCTTCCTCTCATGTGGATGGTTACCTACCCTTCTGTGGACAAGATGCCGGCATCTGAAAAGTGGATGGAATTCGACGTACTAGAAATCTGGAAAGTGCTGTGAAGGATCACGAGGAAGAGTGCAGGGTGGTGGGTGAACCTTCTGACTGGGGGCTGACACCTGTGAGGGGGCCTGGGAGGAAACAGGCTCAGATGGGCAGAGCCACTGTGCACAGTGCAGCTCCAAGAGAGTGTTGGCACGCAGCTGGGGAGTCCCTGAGCAACTCTGAAAGGAGTCCTGTAGCAGGCAGAAACGACCCAGTCCCAGTGCCCCCACTGTGTTCAGTGTTGGCTGACAGCAGCCTGGAGTGAGCATAGCAGTGTGAACTCTGGCAATCCAAGGGCGTGACTAGAGGCTGTTAGCCAGCTGCATTCTCTGCAGCTGCTTATCTTGAAGTGAAATCTGAGCAGTTTGCCTCTTTGGCTACCACACGGGGAGGGGTTAGCAGGTGTAAATTGAGTAGGGACTGGATGCACCAACAAGGATTAGATCGAGCTCTTTTCCCTCCCAGAGCTGGGTGTGGTGGCACCGTGATCAGACTCAGGCTCCTTTGATCAGACTCAGGCTCCTTTGATCTTGAGGCTCTGTCTTCTTTAACCTGTAGTTTCCACTTCTTGGTTAAAGATAGCAGCCCAAGATCCAGCCACTATATTTTCATTTCAGTCCATTAAAAATAGTAAAGAAGGGTTCACTTTCTCTCTTTAAAGATACTTTCTGAACACGCATATGATACTTCTGCATATAGCCCACTGGTCAGGATTTAGTTGTATGGATATACTTTGCTGTAAAAGAATCTGAGAAATATTGCCTTTTGGGGGCTAGCTGTGTGCCAAGTTAAAAGTTGAGGTTACAATTACTGAGAAAGAGGAGACAGATCTGGAAGACAACCAGAATCTCTACCACCGAGAGACAGAATTCAGTCTCTGTCCTGATTTGATCCAGCTCTAGTGTAAATGACTTCCTTGTAGTCACAGTGTGATTCAGTGTTCTCAGTCTCAGCAATGCTAAGAGGTAACTCGTTTCTAAGCCATCTGGGCTCATGATGTACATTACTGGGGATTTGAAAACCTCTCTGTATGAGGAGGATGATACATGCGCACCAACCCAGTGCAGTGATGCAAGGATGAACTCACTCAAAAGTGTTAAGCCCTGTCTAGTCATAGTGGCATGTGTGAATGCTCACAAGGGTTAATCCCATTAGACATCACTTCTGATCTTGAATGGCATAGGCTTCTTCCTTTATACTATTCCTAGAATTATTCAATTGATTTTTACACTAGAGTAGGATTTTTAAAAATTTGATGTCAGTTCATTTCAGATGACTCATTATTTTTATACTAACATGTATGGAAAATTAGAAAACCACTTTAGAGCAATAGGGAACTTTTGTATTGATTTACTCAGAAGTTTTCTTACATCTGTACAAAACAAGATATTAAGACTGAAAGGCATGAAATTAAGACTTTTAAGTGTTCTAAAAATTAGGTTTTCTTTTCCTTATTAGGGCACTGGAACAAACGAAGATGCCTTGATTGAAATTTTAACCACAAGGACAAGCAGGCAGATGAAGGAGATCTCACAAGCCTATTATACAGGTAATCTGATTTTGTGCTTGCTTCACCACTGTTCACACATATGAACCAAAGTTGCATTTCCCAGACTCCCCACTCCCCCCACCCCCGTCTCTTCTCTGCATTTTGAGAAGGCAAAATTTGCAGAAAGGAGGACACATTCTAAAACAGACTCAAGACTGGCTGTTCAGAAAAAACTAGAACATGATGTGAACTAGAAACTTCCGTGTAACCTGGCATTATGGGTCACGTTTATATCACAGCTGCTATGAATTTTGCTCTCAGCAATCACTACTTAATTGAGTCAACCATTTTCATCCATGCAAGAGACTCAATCATTATATATTAATATTAAATGTTTAAAACTACTCAGATTAGACTCATGATTTTTGGTGTGGGGAATTATATGAGTTACTTAGATGTACATGTTAAGCATGTGGATTCAATGACCAGCCCAATTCTTTTTTTTTCTTTCTTTCTCTCTTTCGAGACAGGGTCTTGTCACATTGCTCAGGCTAGTTTTGAACTCCTGGCCTTTAGTTATCCTCCCACCCACTTTGGCCTCCCAAAGCACTGGGATTGCAGACATGAATCACGAAGCATGGCTCCAATTCTTTTTTATACAACAGTCCCCCATAACTTTATCTAAGTATTTCAAGGGAGCCATGGTTCTATGTCTGTGTATCAGAGAGGTCAATTGTGTAACAATTTTGCAGTAGAAGAGGTCCAAAAAAGGGGCATAGTGGCCCCCAGGCAAGCTATTTTGTGAAATGCTCATTAGAAGGTAAATACCAGGTAAATGATAGGTAGCTTTTATTATTGATATGCTAATCAGGGTCCAAGGGTCCACAACCATTCTCTATTTGAAAGTGAAGTCATCCCATCACTTGGAGAGCAAGGACCAAAAGGGCATCCATGTCCACCCACTAGGTATTTTAAGATAAAATTTAATATAAAGAATTGTCTTTAAAAATTAGCTGGGCATGTTGATGTGTACCTGTGATCCTAGCTGCTCGGGAGGCTGTGGTGGGAGGATCACTTGATTCCAGGAGTTCCAGGCTGCAGTGAGCTCTAAGTAAGTAAAAGAATTGCTTAAACACCTTTGGAGGACTGAAAAACAGAAAGAAACATGGGTGACACAGAGTATAACCCCCAGGACTGGGGGATAAAGGAAAGAGGTCATCAGTAACCACATGTTGAAAAGAGGGACACCACCTGGCGGCGGCAGGCACCTTGGAGCTCAGAGCAGAGGGTTGAAGAGCTGAGTTCAGACCTCTGGGGAGGGGACTCCATTTGGCTGGCGCTGGTCCCTCCACGGGCTTCACGTGACTTGTTCAGGTCACCCAATTGTGTCAGCTGCTGTTGTCAGGGTGAAAGACCTTCACTGAGTTAACACGGGTGTGAGTGGTAAGATCAGGCCCTTGTTTTCTCCTCCTGCCTTCCAGGCTCCCTCTACCCTGCTGTTGGTGGGACCTCACAGGGAGTGGGTTACACTAGAAGGAGACAAGAGAATTGCTTAATAACTAAGGGTCAAATGTAGATGTTTAAAAACCTCAACTCAACAAGGTTCACTCTTTTAGAAACTGGCTGTTTCATCCTGGTGTCTCGTAGAAGCCTTGAGGGGTAGACCTCCTGTGGTAACTCCCTGGAGCCCCACGTTCATGTACAATGCCAGGATGTCGGGGATGTCAACTCTGTGAAGGTGGGGATATGCATCTGTCTTGCTCACTGCTGTATCCCCAGTGCTAGAACAGTGGGGGGATAAGTTCAAATAAGAACATCCTCAACATTGGGGTTAGGGTCTTGAGAGCCAAGTGACAATTCTCACATTTAAGATGGCGTTTTGCAAATATAACATATAATACTAGCACAAAGATGCCAGAACCTCAGTTTCTACGTGGCCTCCCTAAGGCCACTAGGACTAGAACTGTATCAAGGTTACCTTGTGCTAGAGATGCATGACACTCAAGAAGGTAGAGAAGGAAATTGTCTCAGTCATGCATAGGCAGATTTGCAGAGATGGGACACAGACTACCTTGGACCCAACTGTCCCGTCACTCTTAGCAGCCACTGCCCCCTGAGCTGATGTTTTCCTGACCTTGCCTCTCCCTTTTGCTTCTAAAGTCCTTGGTCCCACTTCTCTTCCCTCACACATGGTAGTCTCCTGCCCAGGGCTTAGATTTGTCCATGGTTTGGTTATTCTTGGCTTCTGTGTTCTGCCTTATTCTGGGGGTCTCTCACTTCTTTGTTATTCTACTGTCTTTGTCTCTTTTTCTGTGTAGCTCACTCGCTAGGTGAGAAGATGCCATGAGTTCAAGAAGCTACCATCAACTCAGCCTCATAAAGGGACCAGATGTCTGTATAGTTCATCCAGTACAGCGACACAGTGGAGTCTAAATAAAGAGAAATCTAAATTTGGAACTTTTCCCAGTATTCTAAAGTTAATGGTGTGTAAGAGAACACTGAAGCAGGGATCAAGAATTCAAAAGTTCTAGTTCCGGCACCTCTGCTATTAGAATATTATATTTATTCTTCTACACTTTATTGGGCCTCAAAATATATAAAGTAGCTGTCAACTTGGATTGAAATCATTTTTTTAGTCTAATTTTCTGCAAAATATTTGGAATAAAGGGAGAGGCCACATAAAATGATTTATGAAGTCGCATTTAAATAACTCTAAAATTACAGACTACTTCCCCAAGTTCTAACAAATAAGAGCTTCATCTTTTGACTTGATATTTTCAAATTTAAAATTTTTTCTAACTAGAGTAAAGAATAGATGTGACAATATTACAGCTATTAGGTATAATGATGCCTACTAAATATTATTAGCATTTAGATAAACATATTTATAGTGGATTTTGCCTGCATGAATTGCTTTTAAAAATTATAGATTTTATTAAAAAGAGATTTTACCAAAATCACATTGGGGAAACTTCCATCTCAGCACAGTTCTTGCTATCAGATAATCCCATATCACTCTCTACAATTGTTTTTAATTGACTTGAAAGGATGAGAATTCATATGGCTAGCTTAATTGAGAATGATGCAGGCAGAGTTCAAAAAGCTACCTGGTATCACCTATATCCAGGTATACAGTGGCTGCAGGAGAATTACTGCCCCATGGATGGAGCACGATGAGGAGTTAAAACTGATGACACTGCATACCCCAGGCCATGCAGAAGGGCCACAGCCAGTCAGCCGAAAACGTGTGACCACACAGTGGCGTTTGTTACAGGAAATAGTGTGCTTTGGGGTAGCTTTCTTATGTTGAGGAGATATTAAATAACACAATTTAGTTGTATTTGTTAAGATTAGGGTTAGAGTCAATAAAACAAAAATAACAGTGACTTCAAGAAGATAGAAGTTTATTTTGATCATATGTAGAAGAAGCCTGAAGATGGGCAGTTCTGGAACTGGTATAACAGTTCTGCAAAGCTTTCAGGAACTCAGGCTTCTTCCTGATTACTTTTACACCATCACTAGTCCAAGATGGTTGCCTGAAAGTGAGTCATCCATCCATACACAAGGAAACAGGATGGAAGGATTAAGATGGGCATGGCCCATCCCGTTAAGGACATTTCCTAGCAAAGTCACATTTGTCTGCCTTCATTTCATCTCAAATAACTTAGTGGTGGAGCTGTACACAGCTAAGAGGAAAGCAGAGAATGTCGTTTTTAAGCTTGATGAAGGTCAGGGTCCATCACGATGGAAGGAGGCCATAATGGAAATGGGAAGGCAAACTGGCCGCTCACCCACCCCAGCCTTCCCATTGTCAGGTGAAACGAACCATGATTTGATCCAGAATGGCCAGATTTTTTTTCTGTTCTTTTGCATCTACCACAACACACAGTACAGTGATAAAGTTACAAGAGAATGTATCCATCTCTCAACAGAAGAACATTAGGAAGTTAAAGAAAAAGGCAAGATTTATTTGATCGCATAGCATTTCTCTGTTCTATAATAATATTTTTCAGTTTGTCAAAGCTTAATTTCATTCTCATTTGGTTTCAGCATATAAGAAGAGTCTTGGAGATGATATTAGTTCTGAAACATCTGGTGACTTCCGGAAAGCTCTGTTGACTTTGGCAGATGTAAGGTTTTATTTTTTAACTCCCCAGTAAGCTGCATGCTCAGTAATAATTTTTAGGGAGTTTAAAAATAACCAAACTGAAACAATGAGATTGCAATTTTCTTTACAAAATGGTTTGTTCATTTTATGTTTACATTGCCACCAAGTAGTATAATCTTTAACCAGGTCATAAAAGCATTCATAATAACGTAATAACAACAACAAAAATTTGTTTGCGTCAGTATATGGAAGGGCTTTGATCAGGTTTCATAATTTTCACATTTGGAAATGTTCTGATAAATCATCTAACAAAAAATAAGTTTTCATTTCCATGATGTGTCTCCATTGTTAAGGAACAGGTTTATTTTCTTCTGGACAACAAAGAATATATACATTTATTTTGTTAGCTTTTAAATTGAGTAGGAAGCATGACCTGGAAGAATTAGAGACTGGTTTTAAATTCAGAGGTAGTGTCAGTCTTGGGATTAGAAGACAGAAAACAGCTCCCTATGGCATCAGCCTTGCTTTTTGGAAAAGCTGCTGGGCTCCTAGTCATGGTGAGACCACATGAGGCCACGCCTTGCCGCCTCTTCTAGAAGGATCGTGACTTTGATGACAAAGGTGGGAAGGTCAGGGATGCGCTGTAGTCACAGCTGTGTGGAAGAGGGGAAGGGACTGAGGCCACAGCTCACCAATGTCATTCAGCTGACTACACAGCTCCTGATGTGTGAGAAAATTCCAATAGTGGGCTTAATCTGACAGTTGAGGCAGCACTTGTCAAGTGAAGCATTATACCATCAGGAAATGATTTATCTTAACTGTGGTGTCTTTTATCTTAAATGGTGAAAATCATATGAGGGTTGAGCCCCCAAACCCACATTTATTCATCATTGCTGCAAACATGCACTCTCAGAGGTATGTATTCCTAAGTGCAGTTGTTTGCTCATGGGCATGTGCACACCCACCCCCAGGGGGCAGTAGAGAGCAGAGCTCCAGGGCAGGGTCTGAAGTTGCAGGCCACCTGTAAGCTTTGAGCATTTGGAAAGTCACTCTGAGGCTTAAAGCTTTAGTTTTTACATCTGTTAAATTAAAACACTTATAGTACCAACCTCACAGGATGTTGTGACGATTAAGAGAGAAAGAATGTGATGAACTTACTAATCAACCCTTGGAGGTGATGGTTTATTCCTGTTAATACCGGTGATAATCAGCATTTTTACTATTGGGGCAGAGTGCACAGCGAAGGGAACAAGAATGCAAACTCACAGCAGCAGGCCATCAGCAGCACAGAAAAGAAACCTGACTAAAGTCAGACATCCCTGGAGGACCTGATGTTTGAAAATAGAACAAATCCATTGTTAAAATGTTACAGTGTAGCAAAATGTCCTATTTGTCTGTGACTTTCAGAACAAGATGGTTAATCTGTTTTCCTATCTTCTCCCACCTATCTATAATGTGCCTGAGTGTTTGGCATGACAATATATACACTTGACCAGATAGCCTTCAGCATTACAGATTGTAGGGACCTTTTAGGTTTTTTGGGTTTTTTTTAATAGACTTTACTTTTCAGAGCAGTTTTAGATTTATGGAAACATGGAGCACCAAGTACAGAGAGCTCCCACATGCCCTCCTCTCCACTCTGAGGTTCCCTATTATTAACTTCTTGAGTGTGTGTGGTACATTTGTTACAGTTGGGCGGATTCTGATGATTTATTATTAACTGAAGTCTGTAGTTAACATCAGGGTTCGCTCTTTGTGTCAAGCAGTTCCCGTTCCCAGCCTAGTTCTATGGACTTTGATAACCGTGTGATGTCATGTATCTACTATGACAGTATCATATGAAGTCATTTCACCATCCTAAGATTCCTCTGTGCTCTGCTTATTCATCCTTTTGTCTCCTCAGCCCCTGGCAACCACTGATCATTTTACTGTCTCTATAGTTTTTCCTTCTCCAGAATGCCATGCAGTTTTCAGACTGACTTCGTTCACTTAGTTGTATGCTTGATGGTTCCTCCAGGTCTTTTCGTGGCTTGATAGTTCATTTCTTTTTAATGTTGAATGATATTCCATTGTATGGAATATTTGTTTTACCTGTTGAAAGGCATCTTGGTTGCTTCCAAGTTTTGGCAATTACAAATAAAATTTCTGTAAATATGCTTGTGCAGGTTTTTGTTTTCAAGTCCTGCGGGTAAATACCAAGAAGCACAATTGCTAGATCACAGGGTAAGAGTATATTGAGCTTTATAAGGACCTGGGGTACTATCTTCCACAGTGGCCAAACCATTTTGCCTTGCTCTCAGCCGTGAATGAGAGTTCCTGTCACTCCCCATCTTTGTCAGCAGTTGGTGTTGTCAGTGTTTTGGATCTGAGCCATTCTAATAAATATGTAGTAGTATCTTATTGTTTTAATTTAAAGTTCTCAAATGACATATAAAAATGAGCATCTTTTCATGTGCTTTCTTGTCACCTATCTTCCTTGGTGAGGTGTCTGTTCAAATCTTTTGCCCATGTTTAAAATTGGGTTGTTCATTGTCTTCTTTTTGAGTTTTAAGAGCTTTTTATATATTTTGGATGTAAGTTTTTTTTTTTAATCACATATGTTTTACAAGTATTTTTCCCCAGTCTGTGCCTGTCTTTTCATCCTCTTAAGAACTGTGAGTTTCTAGTGCCATGTCTTTCCATCTGGTTAAAACCTCTGAGGCTCCAAAAACCATGTGATTTGCTACACATTTCATGTTAGTCAGTGGCAGAACCTGAGCTGGGACCCTGAGTCCCTGATTTTTGTGCTACCTGGCTTCCATTGGAGATAAACCATTAAGACATGTGCAGGTTGGGCACCGAGTGTTAGCATTGTCTATCTCTAAAGGACTGTTTTTGCTTTCTTCAACCTTGTCTAGGGCAGAAGAGATGAAAGTCTGAATGTGGATGAGCATCTGGCCAAAAAAGATGCCCAGGTCAGTAACAAAGCAAGGCAGGCATCTCCCTTCACTTTTCCCCCACTTGAACTTGACTGTCTTTCATTCTGTGAAAGAGCAAAAGGTGGCACCAACTAAGGCTGTCCTTTCTGGTCTGGAGGAGAAACCTGCAGCCTGGGGACCACCTACCCCCAACGTCTGCCCTCCCCAGTGGTGGTTACCATCCCCCAGCTCTTGCCAGGCCAACTTTCAGGTTTCTGCTGAAAGTGAGAAGCTTAAATACCTACTCGATGTTCTCACTGACTCTAGAATCGAGTGAAGCTCCACTCTTCTCACGTCCCCTCAGAGAAAGAGAATCGTGTCTATAACAACGCGTGTCTTCCTTCCCTTGTTAATAGCTTCTCTACAATGCTGGTGAGAACAGATGGGGCACGGATGAAGACAGATTCACTGAGATCCTGTGTTTAAGGAGCTTTCCTCAACTGAAACTAAGTATGGGCTCACATGACCACCCTGCGTGTTGCATGTTGTTTTGACCCCTGCTTTTGGGTTTAGCACACAAAAGTGCTAGAAAATGAAGTTAAAAATCGCAGTATTTTCCAGTTTATGTATAAATACTTCAGGAAACAATGGGGAGCTGTATTCTAACTCTAACTCAAGGAAGTGCTAACACTAGATGGGTTGTCCCAGAAGCTAAGTAGGCTAGCTAGTAAGTAGCAGGAAATAGACTGGGGAGGGAGGAGGCAGGGAAGGAAGGAGGTAGCCCTCTGGGAAAGAGCAGGAAGGTCATTTTTGGGGTGCAGAAGAGCGTGGCGGCACTGCTTCCTCCACCCAACACCTCTCCCTACTTAGTCACTTGTCAGAAAAGCCAGCCATTGCAGGCCAGCGTCTGTTGGTGTGTGGGTATTAATGAACATTCAGCTTTTCCTGATGTGAAGGTAAGTGGGGGATGGGGAAGGCCAGTTTTTTGTTTGTTTGTTTGTTTTTTTGTCAAACCAACAATTAAGCGAAACTGCTGAGCACTCATCCTCTCACTCACGCCTCTCCTGGAGTGCTCTAGAAGCACCAGCACCCAGAAGCCTGGAGCTCTGTGTACTGTGAACAGCTGACTCTGGCTTCCAGGTGCTAGTGTATAAACAACCACAGTGCAAGACTAAGCTTATGCAGAATTGATGAGAAAATGAGGAAACAAGGAATTGATTTTGAGTTGAGGTCTCAGCTCTGTCACCCAGGCTGGAGGGCAGTGGCAGGATCCTACCACTACCAGCAAGGCTCAGGCAATCCTTCTGCCTCAGCCTCCCAAGCAGCTGGGGCCACAAGTGCTGCCATGTCCAGCTAGTTTTTTGATTTTTCACAGAGACAAGGTCTCACTGTGTTGCCGAGACTGGAAACATAAGGATATTACTGCAACTTTTAGACTTTTGAAATCGTCCTTCCATAATTTTCACATTAAAATCACATTTTTAATAAACTAATAATAGTTCTGTATATGATAATTGCTTTATTAATGTCTTTGAAAAATAAAAACAACAACCCTAGATCTCGCTCCAAAAATTCTTTTTTTAAAAGCATTTATTGGGAAGACACTTACTTGGCTTACAAAATATGACTGTCTACTTGGTGATGTAAGTACAGGTGTTGCTTGGGGCAAATGCTGATCCAGAAATTCAGATGCTGGGAGGTGTGAAGTAGGCCATACTGCTTTAGGAAGTGATTTACTGAACACAAAGAAGTCTTCATAATTAAGAATTTCTAAGCAAATAAAACATATTTGACTAATGATCATAGTATTATTTCTGAGGTGCTGCTATAAATTTTAAAAAATAGCTCACTAGATAAGTTATTTATCATTTAACTTTTCAGGGTATTTGATATGCTTATATCCTGATAGGAGGTGGGAGAGGAGAGAAAGATCATTGAAGAAAGTGATCTAGGAAGTTCAGGTTTTATTGTAGATGATGTTCTTAGAAAGAAACAGGGGGAGAGAGTCTGTGCTCAAATTTTCATGGTTTAAAGAAGAAATTTTTGAGTTTACTATTTGGTCTGCTGCATATCAGATAAAAAACTGGAATATATTTAAGTGTAGTCAACTAGGATGTTTTAAATAATGTTGTGGTGCTGCTTTTTAGCATTTGATGAATACAGAAATATCAGCCAAAAGGACATTGAGGACAGCATAAAAGGAGAATTATCGGGACATTTTGAGGACTTACTGCTGGCCATAGGTAAGCCTCTGAGTACTAGTAAGCTGAGCTACTTTGCACTTGTTTCAATTCGACATCAAGGTACATTCCTTTTGTATAAGAATCCTGACTGATCTACCTTTATGCTGCCTATAGCCCCAGCATGGTCCATGGAACACACAATGTTCTCAACAAATATTGTTAAATGGATGCATAAGGATGTTATCTTTTTTGATCTTATTTTACTTTTTAAATTTGTATTTGGCTTGTCACCATGTTTAGCTTGTAGACTCCTTGAAAGCTGAAATATTTTATTTCTTTTTAAAATTTTATTTATTTATTTATTTGAATTTTTGTAGAGATGGGTCTCACTATGTTACCCAGGCTGGTCTCAAACTCCTGGCCTTGACCTCTCAGAGTGCTGGGATTGTCGTTATGAGCCACCATACCCAACCAAAATACTTTATTTATACTGGCATTTTTATTGAACCTTATTAAAAACTGAGACCTAGGCTGCATACAGTGGCACACACCAGTGGTCCTGCCTGCTTGAGGGGCTGAGGCTGGAGCTTGAGCTTAGGAGTTCAAGTCCAAACTGGACATCATAGCAAGATCTCCTATCTGAAACAACAACAACAAAACTGAGACCCAGACCAATTTGATAATTCACCGTATTTAGTTCTTTCTGGAAATGTCAGTGGCCTTTCAAAGGTGAGCCAAAGTTGAAGCGATGGGTCTCCTTCCTTGGTTGAGTGAGCAGGAGTACGTCAAAAAGAAATTAAGTTTCAGGCTGAAACTGTTCCTATATAGAAATGTGCATTAGCTGACGGTCAAAAACAAGTTACACCGACTGTTCTGTCTTCTTAATGGGGGCTCAGCAGTTAGCTGTCTAGGCACTAGGAGAACACCTTGCAAGAGATGTGTATTTAGAGGGCTAAGATACTGTTCAAACACAGAACTCTTGACACCTGCAGTCAAGAGTCAGGCAGTAAAGTCTAAGTGCTTATACCACACAGGATGGTTCAGAACCCTAAACCACTCCAGTTTGGCGACACTGTTGAGCTTACAGGATTCTTCTCCATTAATGCCAGGGTAGGAATACCTGTACTCTGCACATCTTGTCGTTTCACCAATGAAGTCATTTCTGACATCTGTAATGGTAACTAACAGCAAATCTGGTGAGGTAAAGATTTGATGGCTGAGGGTAATCACCCCTGGAGTGGAGCCTCTGACTCATCATTCAGGTGTTAACTTCTACCTCTGAAGGGTGAACCCCCAATTAGAGTGCTTCAAATTTTATTTTTAAGTAAGTGCTTAACTAGCACTTACTGTGTGCTCAACATTGTACTAAACTCTCTACAAATAGTAACTCACTTATGCCTCATACCAAACCTGTGAAGAAGATGCCACTATTATCCCCTTGGTAGGGCTGGTACACTCAGGCAAAAGAGGAGGCATTACATCCCTGGTCTCTCCAGGAAGTTTGGTAAAGCTGAGAACTCACCTCAGGCAGCTGGGCTCATAGTTTGTGATGTTAACCAGCCACTTTGATGTGTTGTGATGTAGACATAGGCTGACATAGTCTATATTAGAGTGTTTTAAAAGCAAATTACAGAAAATATACCAGAAAACAAGCACCCTGTCACTTCTAGGCCTCATGCTAAGAGCTTCCTCTTATTATTTCCCTTAGCTTCTGACCCTCTCTTCAGTGCCAAGAATAGGGCTCTTTATTCAACTCTTGGCTCAAAAAAAGAAAAATATATTGACTATGATTGAATTGCTGAAAGACAGGCCAAGAAAGGAAAAAAAGCCTCTTTTTAATTAAAAAAAATGAAATTGAGATTAGTCTTCATAATTAGTTCTGAGATTGTTCCAGTGGCAATGATAATAGCCAGCTAAATTATTTTCCATTTCATATTGTTAATCCTTATATTAACTTTGCTGATTTTTATTTGTTTGCTCTTGTTAAGCTATAATATTTAAAAACCTTTATTGAGATATACAAATTCTCATTCACTGAGCTAAGAAGCGTTCTTAGAAATATACATTGAATTGTGCATTACATTTAGGCTATGAAGTATATGCTTTATCAAGTAAAAAAATGCTTTATAATTCAACGAATTTAAAGTTCAAAATATGTCACACCTTCATTTTCTCTTCCAGTCTACTATTGGAATAAGTTTCTTTTTAAAAAATCTTTGAGATAATAACTCACATACCATAAAATTTACCCATTCAAAGTGTGCAGTTCAGTGCTTTTTAGCACATTCACAGAGTTTTGCAATCATCGCCACAATCTAAGTTGAGGACATTTTTATCAGCACCCCCAAAACACTGGTGCCCATGTCAGTCACTCCCCATTCCTACCTACCCCTCGGCTTCTGGCAACCATTAATCCAATTTCTGTCTCTATAGATTGGCCTATTCTGGGTATTTCATATACAGGGAACTCAATGCAATAGTCAACACATAGTTTTTGACATGAAAAACCATCTGTGCTGATCATCTTGGAATCATATAATAGAGACATATAAGTTGTTAAATAAAAACAAATCCAGATTTAGGTAAGGAGAGACTTTATTCAAAAAGACTAATACAATAAGAAGAACTCTTTGATCTCAGAAATGTACAAGAGTCTCAGAATCCAACAGAGAAGTCTTTTCTTTCATGAGAGGGATAAGCAGACCTTAGCAGCAACTTTAGGGGGAAGTTGGGTAGGCGGAAAGGCATGGTTGTTGAGGATCAACAGGAAGTATGTCTTGCTATGGCCAGCTGGATTCTCGGGATAAGCTGATGTGGGAGCATGCACTGCACTTCAGAGTTTGCCTGGGATTGGGGCCTAACCGGAGTTCAGGGACCTTGGGAAGAGAAAGGCTGCGGAGGCAGGGTCAAGACAGTGAGTAGGGCAGGGCATGGGCCATTGTGAACGCTTGGCCATGGTGATGACCTCTCACAGACTTGCATTTCCTTGCCTGTGGCCTTGGGTGCTGAACAAGCTTCCTTACCACTGAAACACACTGCTGCCTACTGAAATTTTCAGACATGAAGAGCAAGCCTGGTAGCTCAGAACATAAATCAGAGAGCAAGCTGAAGGGGGAAAGGATTATGAAAAGAATGGACCATACAGATCTAGTTGTTGGGGGGTGATTAGAAGGCGTAATAGCATAAGAGTGGTCATAATGATTTTGATCAAATTATTAAGGCTCACCTAATATGAGTTTGAGAAAATTCAGATACTGTCGGTTTGAATGGTTCCTTCTTGTCAGACATCTTCATATCTGATTGGTACTAGGTGCCACGTTTGGGTTTCTAACACATTTCTCCTCCTATTTCCCTTAAATTACATGCACAAACCAAAAGTCTTTTACCTATAGGTTAGATTAAAGAGTGTGGAAATAATCATGTTGCTGTAAATAGGCTTATTCCTTGCACACTTTTCTATTGATATTTTCACTTTATTTAAAGGATAATACATTTACTCATGTTTTTATCAATTTCCTTTTTCTTGTTTTACTTCTGCTTTGCTTGTTATTTCAAAATAAAGAGTTAAAACGTTGTAGTATTTTTTAAATGACTGAATTCAGATGGCAGGTACTAGGTCTAATGTAATTACTCTAAGCAGTCTATAAATTCTAATTCCATCATTTAAAAGAAAATCTTTGCCGGGTGTGGTGGCTCATGCTGGTAATCTCAGCATTTTGGAAGGCCAGGGCAGGAGAATTGCTTGAGCCCATGAGTTCAAGACCAGCCTGGGCAACATGGTGAGACCTCGTCTCTAAAAATAAAAAATCTTCCAATTGGAAAAATTGCTTTTAAGTGGAACTCCAGTGCCCCTTCGAACCTTGTTATTTGGAGCAACCTCTCTGCAGTTGTTAGGCCAAGTTGAGCACCAGGAGCCCAAGAGATTAGAAACTGAGTAGAGGGGTGGGGAAGAGGTGCACCCTGGGGAGTTATCAGTGTAGGCGTAGGTGAGTGGTGTGTCTGCAGTCTGGAGATGAGTCAGACGCCGTGGGAGTTTCTTTGGCAGGTAATTTTATTTTCCCCATGGCTGAAGATAATTACTGTGCTAAAGCTCTGTGCAAATATGACGTTACATGGCTTTGAAATTCCGGTTGAGCTGCCTTCATTCTAAATAAAAGCCCGTAGAGGGGACAAGGTGGAGTGGAATGACCATCCAAATAACCTATTCTAAACCATGTTGCTATAGATTAACCCAATTTCCATACAATGAAGCTGAACATTTCTTTGCTTTTCATAACAGTTCGCTGTGCGAGGAACACCCCTGCCTTTTTGGCTGAAAGACTGCACCAAGCTTTGAAGGTTGGTCGGAGACTTCATATGCATTCCTAGCGTCCCTTGAGGAGAATGTAAAATATTGCTCCATACTGATGGAGTGTTGTATTTCTTTTCCACTTTTATGGGTTCTCTTTAGGCTAATTTGCCTACTGATTTATCTCAGAGTTAATAGTAAGCTTTGTAACCAACAGAGATGGGTACAGTGAAGTGTTGCCTACATTATTTCCGCTACGTCACGGTAAGTGCAGGCCGCAGAGCTCGTTTTAGAACACCAACCTCAGACTTGACCCACAGACCCTATGACCTCTCAAGCTGCCTTACCTAAAGTAAGTTGAGCTGTATCAGCAGCCTTATGTGATGTGATGACCCTGTGACTGTTGGCTCCAGGTACTTGTTCTCCCACAGACCCTAGGACAGGACCTTGCCCGTGAATGACATACACATTGGTTTCTTAACTGGGCATTTTCTGGATCCCACATGGATCTTCCAAGCAGCACCCAAGGTGAACACGTCCTTTTCCTCCCTCGTCTCAGCCAAGGCTGCTCCCTTCTCCCGTGTCTGTCCCGGAGGAGGATAGCCCCAGCAGGAGCTGGCAGCCCTCAGAAGTCCTGTTGTTCCTCCCCAGCCCTATCCGCCATGCTTCGGCCTTCTCAGCCTTCTCTCTATTCCCTGACCATGGCAAGTCTTTCTCGTACCAAAGTTTTTGCTTATGTTGCCCTCTCCGCCTGGAATATTCCTCCTCCAGGCCTGTCGATGGCTGATTCCTTCTCATTTTCTGGTCTCAGGTGATCTCCTAAGAGGTCTCTCCTGACTGCACTGGGCCAGTTGGCTCCTTTTGGTCACTCTCCATTCTATTTCCTGGCTTTATGTTATTCCTAGTTCTCATCATTATTTCCTTAAGCAATTAGTTGATTTGGTCTACTGTCTGTCTCCACCTACTAGTACATAAACTCCACGTAGACAGATTCAATCTGTTTATTCACCATCATATGGGGCAACGCCTGGCATATAGTCCATGCCCAATGAGCGTTTATTGGGTGCATTAATAAACGGAGTCAATGTCCACCTAACTTAGCTACAAGTCTTACACTGCCCCTCCCCCTCATTATCCTCAGGCATATACCTCATTGTGTTTGTCTGTCTACCTACATAAGTATCTTTCAAATCTTTCCATTTTCTCCATCCATACTGCAGTTATTCTAGTTCAGGTACCATTTCTCTCCTTTATTCCTGAGGTCAACTCTGGATGGTCCCAGACCCTCCAGGCTTATTCCCTTTTCTTCACCCTGCACCTGCTTAGCAATTGGTCCTTGTATTGCAGTCAGAGTGGTTTTCTGAAACCACAAACCAGATCTGATCTCAGCATTCTCATACTTTAAATATCGCAGTAGCTCTCCACACTTGGGGTAAAGTCAGAATTTCATTTCATGATTAACAAGGCCTGGCCTTTCCAGACATGTCTCTTGCGGTCCCTCTTGGTTATATATGAGTCCCTGGACATGACATTCTTTCCTGCCCTGGATCTTCACACGTGTGTGAACCGACTCCTCCTTCTGGATGACTTAACTTTCTCCAACAGATCTTTCCTAATCCTTAATCTTTCTTGGCCCCCTAAAATATGCTCCCCTGGTATCCATTGTTTTCCATATGTCAGACTGTCTTGCAGTGGCCTACTTTCTTACCTGTATCCTTTACAAAACTAGAAGCTTCACAGAGATACTTCATCTCTGTTTTTCAGTAATTACCATGGTGCTGACACAAAGTAGGTGCTCAACAAATATTTCTCAAGTAATGAAGGATGAAGTCTGGTGGCAAATGAAGAAACACCACTGTGGTTGAATATTTTCCACACCATTTTATCGTTCTTACAAATATAGATCTATATGTTGTTTTGTGACCCGTGAGATATGTGTTGTGACTACCTCTCTGTCTCAACAGGGTGCTGGAACAGATGAGTTTACTCTGAACCGAATAATGGTATCCAGATCAGAAATTGACCTCCTGGACATCCGAGCAGAGTTTAAGAAGCATTATGGCTACTCCCTATATTCAGCCATTAAAGTAAGTCTCCTCTGAAAACAGCAAAACATATTTTGCCCTTTTCTACCACCTTCTTGCTCTTATATTTCTTAAAACATGAAAAATACATGACATACATTTCTCTCTCTTGGTCAACACATAAATGTGTTGTATGAGTTTAAAATAGTAGCAGCAAAATGTCCCTTAAAGGCGTAATTGTTTTTCGGCTCTAACATCCAAGGCATGCAATAAATATTCAATATTTTCTTGTAGGTTTACTGGACACAATTTTTCTTCTTTTGTGAATTATATATGCAAATTGTTGACCTGTTTTTTTATTTATTTCAGTGTTTATGACAAAGTAAGAAAAGAAGAATACATTTGGCTTTGCAGCTTAGAGTTCATTTCATTTCTGTATGTAGGAGGCTTTCTTGTTCCTTTTAACAGCTGTATATCATTCCATTGTTTGCATTTTTATACCCACCACCTCAACAGATTGTTCAATATCTTGCTGTCACAAACAATGCTGTACTTTGCATACACAGTTTCATGAGGTACAAGTGTATCTGTGGGATAATTTTTTCAGAAGTAGGAGTGCTAAGAGAGATGTAAATATATTTGTAATTTTAGCGAATATTAACAGCTGAATTCCATTTTACACTTTTGTGAGGGATGTTTGAATCCTTGCTTCTTCATAGCCTTGGCACAGTGGGTGTTTTCAAACTTTTGTGTTTTTACAATCTGATAATTGTATCCCAAGGTAGGTTTTCTGTTTTAAGAAGCAAGATCTCACTTTGTTACCTAGGCTGGAGGGCAATGTACAATCGTAGCTCACTATAGTCTCAAACTCCTGGGCTTAAGCAATCCTTCCATGTCAGCTTCCCAAGTAGCTAGGATTACAGACACGTGCCACTGTGCCCAGCCAATTTTGTACTTTTTTGTAGAGACAGGTTCTCACTATGTTGCCCAGGCAGCTTTTAAACTCCTGGGTTCAGGCAATCTTTCCACCTCAGCCTCCCAAAGACCTTCGCTGAGGTTTTGCAAGCTGTGTGGTAGGGCTCTGTCCAAGCCTCTGCCATCCCATTCACTTCTATGAATGTCTTGAGAAAGTCCACCCTGGAGAGTGCTGGATCCAGGGAGATTCTCTGATGTCTAAGCTGGGAGGTGGGGTTCCACAGATGTTCTGGAACAAGGAAGAGGGCAGCAGCCATACAGGAGTGTTTGAGGGCTGAGGGTCCAGAACTGGGAGTGGAACCCGTGATGTCCAGTCACCCTCGGCCCAATTGAGAATCATCTTTGCACCCTGGGCAGTTCCTAGCAGCAGCCTCTCTCTCTCAAGCCCTAGGAGGCTGGAGAAGCCCCTGTGAGGGACATGGCGCCCTGCCGTGGTGCCCCGTCATGGCCACCTGGGCCACCTGTCTTAGACCATGTTCCTGCATCATTGCAAACAGCTTGAGTGTTCGGTCTAGCTTTATTCCAACCCTGCCCAGAAGAGCCACTCTGGTCAGGTGCAGATGTTGGGAAGAGTCCTGCCTTCAGCCTTAAAAGTGGTCTTTGAATGCATTAATAGCAATCAGTCGACTAGATTCATTCACCAAATATATTTTTTTATCAGAGCTTTTATTTTTGCACTACACCTTTACAGAAAGAGATGCATACATAAATTGAAATCAGGTCAGGCACAGTGGTTTACATCTATAATCCTAGCACTTGGGAGGCCAAGGCAGGAGGATTGTTTGAGGCCAGGAATTTGAGACCAGCGTGGACAACATAACAAGACCTCATCTCCACAAAAACTTAGCCAGGCGTGGTGGTACACACCTGTAAATCTTAGTTACTTGGGAGACTGAAGCGAAAGGATCACCTGAGCCCAGGAAGTCAAGGCTGCCGTGAGCCAAGATTGTGCCACTACACTGCAGCCTGGGTGGCAGAGTGAGATCCCAACTTAAAAATCAAAATAAAGAATATAAGTTGAAATCAGGAACTTAAAAAAGCAACTCTCAGATTGTGCCTGGGGCTTAGCACAGATTGTATCAACTGCTCACACTCAATTCTATCTAAATCAATCCTGACACGTTACAATAGTTTCAAACATCAGAGAAAGATTCAATTACATTAACCATATTGTACTTACCAAGGCAGAAAAGTACACTCCTGCATTTTCTAAAGATTGTCAGTAACAAGGTTAAGACCAAGGCTTTCAGTTCACCCTAAGCAAACCAGAAAATTGAATTAGCCAGTGCCTCTTAGTCCCCCAAGGGCCTGAGTAATTAAGGCTTATTGTATTAGAAAACATTTAAAGTGGGCCAGGCTCAGTGGCTCAGTCTGTAATCGCAGCACTTTGGGAGGCCTAGGCGAGTGGATTTCCTGAGCCCGCAGGTTCAAGACCAGCCTGGGCAACTTGGTGAGACCTTATCTCTACAATGAATCAAAAATTAGCTGGATGTGGTAGTGCATGCTTGTAGTTCCAGCTACTTGGAAGGGTGGGAGGAAGGATCGCTAGAGCTCAGCAGGTCAACGCTGGGGTGGCCATGAGTGTGCCACCGCACTCCAGCTTGGATGACAGAGTGAGACTCCAATTCAAAAAAAAGCGAAAAAATAAAACCATTTAAAGTATTTGTAGTTTGATAGAAAAGAAAAATCCTTGACTGAATAGTTCAGTTTGTAATTTGAAATATGAGGTTTTTTTTATTTCTACCACCCAACATATATAATTAAGTTACCTCATTGTGTTTTTGCTGCTGATGAGTAGGAGCTTTTTAAATGACTGAGTTTTCAGAATTCAGAGGACAGAGTTCTATTTTGTGATTCTGTCCTCTTCTTTCCACCTGCCTAGGCTTTACTCTGCTCGTTGATACCTTTCTCAGGTGGTGACTGGTGGGGAAATAAGTGGGCATCTCTTGTTACCTAATAAGGCAATATTAATGGAAAATTTAGATAAAATTACATATTTGGTAGTTTTCCTTGGTCAACAAATTAGGTACCTCTTTAATAAATAGCATAATTTTCAAGCTCTTCATGGGAAATATAGAAGCCACATTCAAGAAACTCAAACTATGTGGAGACTTGAGGTAAGTATAAAAGATGTTAGAAGATAATTGAAGCAGTGTGTACTAGATTGAACAGTTAAGTACTAGATTGTGAGATACAGAGGATAATAATTCAGGAATTGAGAAGAAAAGAAGTTTGGGGTTAGATAAGGAATATTTCTTAGAGAAATGGGTCTTGAGTCTGCCTTTCAGGTCATGCATGTGTTGACTGCTGAGAGACTCAAAGGACTCAAAAAAAAAAACTATACTTGCTATGAAAGAAATGTTTACTATATGAATTCCTACCTCACGTTCACTGTATTTTATAAACCCCTACCTCACGTTCACTATATTTTATAAACCCCTACCTCACGTTTGCTGTATTGTATAAATCTCTACCTCAAACCCCGTAAGACTAGGCATATGTAAGGCGCCTGGTAGTAACTGTGACCGTGAAGTTACAAAATATTTGCAGTGTTTGTACTTAGAACTTTGTTAAGTTTTTGTTTATCCCATAATAACCATGTTAATTGAAATAACCGGCTTCTTCTGCTGGCAGTGTGTGAATGTTAAGCAATAAGCCCCTCCCGGACATTCCTTTGCCTGAATTATGGTGGGCTCTGCGGCACCAGCCACTCTTCTGGTGGGCTCTGTGTTATTTCAAACCTGCTTGTATGCCCGAGCTGATTTATGCACAGTCACAGAGACTGTGTAAACCGCAGCTTATCTAACATTCCAGATGGCTTAACTAACTCCACTCTGCCCGTGTAGCCGTTAGTAGTCAATCACGGGCAGCTGAGCCCGCGCCCACGCAAATCAAAAATGAACCCACCAATCTCAAGCTCTCCTGTCCCCTGACATCACCGCGGACCTAACTGAGAACTAATTCTGCAAGGTCCATGGACTTCGTTTTCTATGTCATACCTTCTTCTAATTGGATAATGTCTCAAGCCTAGGAAAAACCCGTCACGCCCAGTCCCTCCCTCGTAACTGTGTATATAAACTACTTGCCGTACTAGGTCGGGGCTCTTGTTCCTGTACTGCTACGCCGGTTACAGACATGAGCCCAGACTCAAGCCTGAATAAAGACCCTTGTGTGATTTGCATCAGAGCTGGCTCTTTGGTGGTCTCTCAGATTCAGGATTCAGGTACTACAACTGCCTCCTGTGGGCCAGAAGCCCCACTGGTCAATAGGATTTCAGCGGGGAAAGCTCTAGAAACAGGCATGCTGAGAGGCAGGAGGGAAGATAGGAGCAAGGCTCATGCTTGATGAGGACGAGAGGATCCACCTCAGGGAAGATGGAGAGATGCAATCCAAGCAGCAAGATGAGTTCAGTTGAGAGATAGCTTTGAGATCAGGGAATTTGTATTTCATTCATTCTCTGGGCACTTCATACTTCACATAATTGCAATTTTACATTTATTTGTAATTCCCTAAGGGCAGAGAATGTTTCCCCACCCCCCTTTACTTATAATTGTAATCCTAAACCTGGCCCATAGCATGCAAAAATGCTATGGGCCAGGTTTAGGATTACAGTTTCCTGTATCTTTTTTGTCTTGTGTCCAGTTCATTCTCCACAGACACAGAGGTCTTTGCAATGATCATGACACTAACCTGCTTAGAACTTTTTACTGCTTTACAAAAAAATACAGGAAATTGTGATTCAGATCTGTGAAATGAGTTGATGTTCATAAGGAGAAGGCCCGTAGCATGCAGAAATGCTATGAACCAGGCTTAGGATTACAATTATAAGCAAGGGGGGGGGATACATTCTCTGCCCTTAGGGGATTACAGATAAATGTAAAATTGCAACTATGTGAAGTGTGAAGGAAAGAGACATTGTGCCAAAAGATCATATCGCAGGTGGACTTGGCCTACAGGAAAGACTGCTGTGAAGAAATTGTGATTCAGATCTGTGAAATGAGTTGATGTTAATAAGGCGAAGGTAGGGAGCTAGGCAGCCATTCCCACAGAAGGGATAGTAGATGGAAAGACCTCGTGGTAGAGTAAACATAATGAAAAAGGAGCATGTGGGACCAGGCCAGGCTGGGGCTTTTAGGCAATGTTTAAGGATTTTTGTCTTTAGCCTAAAAGTAAGGGGAAGCAGTAAAAAGTTCTAAGCAGGTTAGTGTCATGATCATTGCAAAGACCCCTATGCCTGTGGAGAATGAACTGGACACAAGACAAAAAAGATACAGGCTGATGAGTTAGGAGGTTATTACATTAGTCACTCAAGAGTAGCTGTGGCTGGGCTGGTGGTGATGCAGAGAGAGGAAGGAGCAAGCAAGGGCACAGAAGACATGGAGGAATTAAAACTTGGGGACTGATGTGAAGAGTAAGGAAAAGGATGTGTCCAGGACAACACCCAGCTTTCCTACTTGAGAAATAGACAGTGGTGCCATTCCCTGCAAAGGGGTAGGGTTTTCCAATTTTTTTTTGTTTTTTTCATTTTGGGTGTGGGAGGAGGTTCATGAGTTTGATTTTGCTTGTGAGTCTGACTGGCAGAACCCCTAATAATTGTGTACAGCTTGAGTAGAGATGTCTTTTTTTTTTTTTTTTTGAGTTGGAGTCTCACTCTGTCATCCAGGCTAGAGGGCAGTGGCACACTCACAGCCACCCCAGCATCCACCTGCTGGGCTCTGGTGATCCCTCTGCCACAGCCTTCCAAGTAGTCGAAAATACAGGCATGCTACCACACCCAGCTAATTTTTTATTTATTGTAGAGAAAAGGTCTCGCCAAGTTGCCTGGGCTGGTCCCCAACTCGAGGACTCAGGCAATCCACTCGCCTTGGCCTCCCAAAGTGCTGAGATTACAGGCTGAACCACTGAGCCTGGCCCGGAGATGTCTAACATGAGCTCTTAATACAAAGCCAGAGCATTGCTGACTTGTCAGAAGTGTGAGTGAATTTTACATATGACAGAGCAAGACGGGAAAACCAGTCGGGGAAGAACTAAAACCGATATGAAACAGAAGGATATTGAGTTACACATTTTGTGAAACAAAGAGCAAGAAAGAAGGAAAACAGAGGATATATATTATTGCCAATTGTGTCTTACTGTGAAAGTAATGCCTAACTTCTTCACTAAATGACTTTTCCTTACTTCCTTTCCATTACCACTTACTCTAATACTAACCCCAGTGACAGCTTTTCAGATATAAAGCTTAAGAAATCAGAAGTACTTATTGGTTGAGTTACCTCAAATAAAATGAAAATATGATGATTTTAAGCAGTCAGTTTAAAAGCCAACTTTGACCTCCAATGAAGTCTTTGCATAGCGATCATGGAATCTTTGTCCTTTAAGTCTAACCTTGCATAGTATCTCTTCTGAACCAAGATCTTTGTTTGGCTGTCCTAGGTAAAAGGAGCTATAAACATCCTCTATGGGGGTGTGGTGCATTTCACTTTCCTAAGGCAGGCAGGGTAGCAGGGTATTAGGGAGCCAGATTATCTGGTTTCAAATCCTGCTTCTGTTACTTATTCATTACAAGATTTGGGCAAATTGTCTAACTTCTGTTTTCCTCATTTTACTTACCTATTACGGGGGATATAGTAACTATTGTTTAGAACTTTTGTAAGAGTTAAAGTAATGTTAATACACATTAAGCCTTTTGACTGTCAAGTGTTTGATGAATATTCGTTATTAAAATTATATTTTTTAAAGTTTTAATATTTTATTATTAAAAATTAATATTATGTGGCTGGGCACCTTGGTGCACACCTGTAATCCTTGGGAGGCCAAGGTGAGATGATTACCTGAGCCCAAGGATTCAAAAACCAGCCCGGGAAACTTGGTGAAACCTCATCTCTACAATAAATAAAAAGATTAGCTGGGTATAGTGGTGCGAGCCTGTAGTTCTAGCTATTTGGAAGGCTGAGGCAGAAGGGTAACCTGAGCCTAGCAAGTCAAGGCTATGGTAGCCGTGAGCATGCCACAGCATTCCAGCTATGGGTGACAGTGAAACTCCAACTTAAAAAATAATAATAATAATATTATATAATTGCTGTGATGTTATTTTTTTAACCCAAATTGAAATTTAATTGTAATATATCAGAAAGAATTTAAAGAAATTCTTATTTGTTTGTAAAGAAGATGCTTCTAGGCTGGAACATGGTTACACTCAGGTATGAATGAATGATGGAGTTGCAGATGTATTTCACTAAATGGTACAGCTCCTTACCCTGCATGCTGTGGAACTTGATTCATGTATGGTAGCCTCATTATTTATACTGTATCTGTTCTCTGTCGGTCTTGTCTTTGCAGTCAGATACTTCTGGACACTATGAAATTGCACTCTTAAAAGCCTGTGGTGGAGACGACTAAGATGAGAAGATGCTTTCCCAGATTGCCTGCTCCCATGACAGGCGTGTCCAGCAGCTCTGCTCACCGCTTTTCATAGTATTTAGACATACAAACAAGTGTGGATAGCAGCCTGTGTTCCTAGGAGAAATTTTTATTGTTCTATAATAACAACAAAAGTGATTATTTTAGAGCATCTCATTCTTTTTTTTGTTTTGTTTTTGAGTTGGAGTCTCACTCTGTCTCCCAGACTGGAGTGCAGTGGCCGCTCCCGGCCACCGCAGCCTCGACCTGCTGGGCTCCAGCGATCCTTTCGCCTCAGCCTTCCAAGTAGCCAGAATTACAGGCATGCACTACCACGCCCGGCTGATTTTTTGATTTATTGTAGAGATGAAGTCTCGCTGCCCAGGCGGGTCTTGACCCCGCGGGCTCAGGCAAGCCACTCATCTCAGCCTCCCAAAGGCGCGGGATTACAGGCTGAGCCACCAAGCCCGGCTTCCCTCCCCTTCTAATCAGAATGTGGCCTTGGGGTTTATCATTTGCTTTCTGCTCTTAGGAAGAACAAGGAACTGTTTTCCTTCTTGCAGAAAAACAAGACTTGTACAATAAATAGTAAGATGGAAATAGAATGGGGTCTTGCTGTGTGGAAGACTCTAGAAGCAATGAGGACTGGAGCGAGAAGGGAGCGAGCCTGTTCTAAAGAACCCAGTCCAGAGGGGAAGGGTAGTCCTGGTCTAAGCGGGGAACAGCAAGTATTCCAAAGGAGATGGCAGCTGTTTGCTGAGGGGACACAGGCCTTTTTAAAAAGTGGGGATCGAGGGTTCGAGACCCGCCTGGGCAACTTGGCGAGACCTCATCTCTACAATAAATCAAAATGAGCTGAGCGTGGTAGTGCGTGCCTGTAGTTCCAGCTACTTGGAAGGCTGAGGCAGAAGGA